ACATGTCGTTTATTTTACAGTACATGTGTAAGAGTCGTGCTTGCAGTTGCCTCTGATTTGTGAGCCGCTGAAGCACTGGCTCGCTGCTGGTGGAAGTTTTTGGGGGGAGCGGGAACTTAGTACCTACGGGGAACGGTGACCGCTCGCTTGCGTGGAGTGCTCAGACATGGAAGAGACTCGTCGTGAGATTGCATCTCCTGTTGCCTCTGACGAGTCGTGGCCTCTTGATGCTTCAGACACCTCTTCGAAAGAGGAAGTTTTGCTGGAGGACGATGCAGTTGTGGCGCCCAGCTCGCCGCTGCCTCCGGTGAGCATCGCTGATCTTCAGAGTGTCCACATGCAAGCATCCAACAGGTGCATGTCGCTGGCTAACGAGTTGAGTGCCCTGGAGTTCCAAGTACAGCAGCTTGCGGAGTCCAACCGTGATCTCAAGGCTGAAAATCGTGAGCTTCGCTTCGAAATGGCCCTCCTTCAGGATGCAGTACATGAGTTGCAACTTCAGCTTCGGCGTGGGCCCCGTGAGTAAGTCTTTTAGAGGTGCCGTTTTGTGCACTTGCTCCAAGCGCCGTTTCAGTCATGTGCTCACAGTTTTCGACAACTTCAGTTGCGCGAAACTCAGCATGTCTTGCTCTGCGGTGAACATAGCATCGGCGCCTGGTTTGCAGATCTCCTGACATAGCAGCTGGCGATGCCCAGCAGGATCGTGCATCACTCAGCTGTGCGTAAAACGGCATTCTTGCAGAGTGACGTGCGTCAGCTGGGAGCCTTTCTGTGCGAGAGCTTCGTAGGGCCGCGATTGTGTGAGTTGAGTTCAGCCTCGGAGCTTACTTTTCCGAGTTTGAGCAGTGCATGCATCTGGCTGCGAGCGCTTTTAGGGCATTGCAGGGCACAGGTCCGTTACATTTTTAGGACATGGACACGTCAGCCCCTGAGAGTTCCTCTGACTGTGGGGCAGATCTCAGCAATCTGCCTCCTGATGACGAGCCGGCTGCTGGGTCTTCAGAGCGAGCTAGCACTGATGATACTTTCTTGCTGCTCTCTGACCATGTGTGGGAGTTAGAGCAGCGTGTGACTGTTCTGGAACAACGCCTGATTGCAGCTGATCCTGTGCCCAGAGAAACTCTTCAACGCGAGATCACAGGGATCTCTCGAGCCTTTTTCGGGCTTGCCGATCGAGTCTCGAGTCTGGAGCTCCGTATCACTGAGCTGGTTAGGTCGCTTCGAAATTGCTTTGCAGGACTAGACCGATAATCTCGGCTCTGCCCTGTCGCCAGGCAATTACAGTGTCAGGCCTCACAGACTTTACACGTCGACTTGAGAATGCTGCGACTTCTTAAAATTGAAGGGCCAGTTTTGCCGATCTCTTTATGTCGACTTTGCAAAACTTCACATTCTGGCTCTTTTTCTCGAGCCCTTTTTGCAGTCACTAAGCCGCTTCGTGCCTTCGACGCCAGAATGGCCACCACTTCTGCCGATCTCGGTGGAGCTACTGTGGCTGATTCTTCTTGTCAGCTCACTCGGGCTAATCTCTGGAAGCATACCGCTTTGCATCCTCAGGCTGATCGCACCAGGTCTCTTGTTGGCCACGATGCTCGAGCACGCTTTGACTGCGATATGATGGGCTGTCAGGAACCGTACGCCGAGTTGGCCACTAGCTTGGTGTGGGAGCGCTCTGGTTCCTCTGAGGACATTTCCATCGTGGGGAGCTCAAGTGGCGACTTAGGCGTTGAGCGCCCGTGGTTGGAGGTCTTCCATTCTTTGACTCTCAACCAGCGGCGTGCCCTCTGTGGGCCATTCAGCGCTGATGCATCCACCAGAGCTTTTGCTTTCACGCCATTGGAGCCTGTTTTGTCTCATGAGGCTCCTTTTTCTGATGATGCTCTTTCTGTTTCCAAACGATTTCGTAGCCTCGAGTCTACGTGTGTGGCACTTGGTGGCAGAATCGACATGTTAGAGGATGCGACTGGCCACATTGTGGGACCTCGGTTCCATACAAGCCTCATGCGCCGTGTTGGCGCTCTTGAGCGCCTCTTAGGGATCGATCCTGCCAGCTGAGTTTCCACAATTTTCAGCCATACCGCTCGCCATAGGGCTGTGTCACGCACACCTGAGACGTCTGCTGTGCATCGTGAAATTGCAGGACTCTGTCTTCTTGCAAGGCTCATGCTTCGTGCAGTGAAGGTCGTCCACAAGCCCTTACGCTCTGCTTTGGCTTATGTGCAATTGTATCAGTGCCACTGCTGACATTCTTGTGTCTGCCTGCCCGACCATGGACCCCTCCGTGTTGGAGGATGCCGACCTGGCTGCCTTGGAGCACGAGTTTCCCGCTGATCTTCAGATTGATGGGGGAGACTTCGGTGATCAGCTTAGTCATGCCAATCAGGTTTGTGATGAGGCTGAGAGGCGGACTCCCGACCCTTGGCTTCTGCTGGACTCGGGCGGGGACTTCCAGGCAGTGTCTGAAGATGCTTCTCAACTTGGAGTTGAGGCTGCTGCTTCTGAGGACGATGCCAGTGCTGAGGTGCAATGGTACCAGCAAGTTGCCGAGGACTTCCCGTCATCCGATGTTGAGAGCCATCATAAGCAATCCCAGTGGAGTCTTGTGGAACTGCATCCTTCAGTACCTGCAGCCTCGCCTCGGGTTACTGCTGAAGGGTATCAGACTGCTCTGTCGGCTGCTTTTCATGCGGTTCCGGCGAAGGCTACACTGTCGCTTCCATGGGAATCAGGAGTCTGGAGTGCGCTGTTTGGTGCTGCTGCTTCCGGTGACTGGTTGCAGCAGGTGACACCTGCTTTCAACAGACCTGTGCAGCCGACTAGTGGCCAACCAGAGGAGTCCTTAGTGCCTACTTCTTCGGGTTTATTTTCACTTTCTTCGAAGCCTCGGCAAGACAGAGTCTTCATGGCTGTTGTGTCGCAGTCTTTGGATGTCTCTTGGGAAGAGCAGAGGACTCTTGATTTCGACAGATCCGTTAAGCTGTGGCTCCACACGATTCTTCGTTGGGATGTCGACTGCGAGGTGAGGCGGATGCTGTGCGAGGAAGAATCTGTGCAAGGGCAGATTGGACTGCTGGAAGACTTCTTCCGTGGTCGTGCACCATCGACGCTGCTCAAGAGAGCCCGGGCTTTGGCGAAAGTTGCCAATTGGTTGCAGGAGAAAGGCGCGCCAGCCTATCCTATCAGTGAGAAGCTTTTCTACGAATTCCTTCGAGCGGAAAGGGCCCTAGGAGCTCCTGCATCCAGGCTGAAAGGCTTTCACGAAGCCATTGTCTTTTCGAGGTTCGTGCTCGGTGTGGCAGGGCTTGAGCTTGCTACTGCTAGCCGTCGTTGTTTGGGCGCCACTAAATCGGATGAGCCCAGGGACAGGAAGCAGGCCCAACCGCTTACGGTCCAGCAACTGTTGGAGCTCCACAGGAGGCTTGACAGCGAAGACGAGGACCCGTGGAACAGATTGTTCTGTGGTGCCACACTTTGTGTGGCCTACGCCCGCAGTAGGTGGGGCGACGCACAGCATGTGTGCAGGTGGGCCCTGGATTATGACACCCTAGGAAACATCGCATACTTGGAAATTACGGTGGCGAGTCATAAGACGATGCATTCATCTCAGCACCGTTTCCAGTTTTTACCAATGGTGTCCATTGCCTTGGGCGTCGCTGACAAAGAGTGGGTCTCCACTTGGATGCGAGTCCGGAAGCAGCTGGGCATAGACAATCCGCCAGGTCACTGTCTAATGCCTGCTCCGGATCAAGAGGGAAAACCTCTCAGCAGACCGCTTTCATCTTCGGAGGCTGGGAAGTGGGTTCGTCGCCTCCTGGATTGTGAACCTGCTGAAGGCTGCCCCAACAGGATCACAAGCCACTCTTTCAAGGCAACGCTGCTTTCTATGGCTGCTAAGCGTGGGTATTCTATTGAAGACAGGCTCCAGATGGGGTACCATTCAGTGCCGGGTCGCATGGCACTTGTGTACTCTCGGGATGGTGCTGCAAGGAGCTTGCGACTGCTGGAAGTGATGCTTGAGGAAATCAGGAGTGGTTTTTACCTCCCTGACAGCACGCGGTCTGGGCGTCTCAGGGGTCCAGCACGTGAGATTCTAGAGCATGCACCTCTCGCAGGAGAGAATCGGCCTGAGACGGGTGATTCTCGCGCTAGCGTTGGGCCAGAGGCTGTTAAGGCTGAGCTCACCGACGATCTAGGGGATGGAACTGTTGAAATCTTGGGATCAGAAGACGAACAGGAGGCAGCTGCTACCGAGCGAGCTGCGGATTCCGAGCATGTCACCACAGACAGCTCCGGTAGCGAATCTTCGGATTTGGAAGTGCCTCGAGTTCGTAAGCTGACAGTTCCATGTGCTCCTGAAGGTTATCGTTTTCTCCAGCATAAAAAGACTCGCATGTTGCATCTCATTAAGGAGGGCAACGAGCGAGTGCTCGAATGTGGTCGTATGGTCGGACCTTTGCACATCAGGCCCACGACTGTACGTTTCGACACCTCGGTCTGCTCTCAGTGTCGAAGGACAACTGGAGAGGAGGCTCGCACAGGAGGTGATTGATACGATGGACAGGAGTTGCCCTGCGGATCTGTCTGACACATCACAGGCCAGGGGCTTCTGTGTCCAAGGCAGAGGGCGTGCAAAGGGAGTCGCCTCGTCAGAGGCGTGGGCCCTTTAGCAAGTCGTGCCGATTTTCTTGTGATTGCCTGGAGCTTGCGTATGGATCCACTTTAGCGGGAGTGCAGGCCAAACGCAAGCTGTGGTGAGTTTTCTTGGCAATGCTGCTGGGCCCGAGGGTGGGCCCCACGTCGGGATCCGGACCTTGGGAGTGCGGCTGCCACCGGTTCGAGTCTTCTGGCGCTGCCAATGTCGCGCACAGGCGTATTGGGCGGGCTGCTTGGAAAAGAATTGATGGACCTGGAGTGCACGGATAGCGACTGCAAGAATGCTCGAGCGAGCGCTGGTTTCTCAGCTCCTGGGCTCGAGTAGAGTGAAGCGATATACCCGCATCATGTCGCTGGTCGAGTCTGAAGCTGCCTTTTTCCAGCGGTGCGATGAAATCGCGCCTGGTCTCCGGACCCTTCTTGAGGCAAAGAACATCAAATCTTTCCGCAAACTCGCCTTCGCCATCGGCACTCCGCAGACTGCACCGAGTGAAGCTGATTTTCAGGGTTTTGCTTCAGAAGTGTTTGTTGGTGCGCCGTCGCTGTCTCAGGTCGCGGATCTTCGTACTTTGCACTTCGAAGCCACTGCTTTTGTTGTTGCGGTACTTAAGGAGCATGTCACAGGGACCGAGGGCCCTGAGGGTGCACAGAGCATCAAGCGAATTCCTCCGGCTGAGCGCCGGGCCCGGTTGTCAGCTCAACAAAGGCGTCTGAGGGGTTTAGATCTGACTGGTGAGTTGTGCCCCAGCCATGCACTGTGCGACATGGCGAACACAATCTATGAAACTTCGGTCATGACTTGGATATCACCCAGCAAGTGCTCTAAGCGTGATGCTGAGATTCAGTCTGTCTCGAAGGTCGAGGCCAAATCGGCTATATCGCTTGAGAAACAGTCTCTTGTTGTTGTGCCGCATGAGCCTGCCAAAGCTGATACTAGCACTGAACTTCGCTTGCAGTGGGCGCTCATGAGGCGCGGGGTCGCCTTTGATCAATGTCGGTTGTTGTCATGGGACATTCACCAGAAATGGGTCACAACACTCATGGAGGCCATGTGCGAAGCGCCTCCCCCGGGCTATTCAGCCATTGGCGCTGCTCAGGTTGTTAGAGCCGATCGGGAGCTGTGGACCTTATTGGCCCGGGACTTCCCTGGGCCTTATAAGGTCAGTACCTTGGGTGTCTCACCATGTGATGCGGTGTTCGAACGCCTCACTACACATCCTCGGATCGCTCAGTTTTTGCTGCCGCTGCGAGGTTCTGGATCCAGTTCGAAAGCTGACATGTCTCGTCCTTCGACAGGTGCATTGCAGGTTGAGCTGGGTGGTGCAGCCCCTTCGAAGCCGGTTGTTCGCCCCAAGAAGAAGGCCAAACCGCAGCCTAAGAAAGCTAGCAAGCCCGCTTCGCTTAAGAACTTTTCTTGCAAGCATTCGTCTGGCAAGCCGATTTGCTGGGCTTTCAACTGTTCCGAGGGCTGCAATCGAGATGTCAACAACAACGCTGTTCCAGGTCTCCCCGGATGTAACAAAGGCTTGCATGTGTGTTGCAAATGCTTTCGTGCTAACCACGGCTTGACTTCTTGTCGTTCGAAGGAATGACTAGAGCCCGAAGTCGTTCATGCCTCAGAAGTTGGAGCTGCATGGGAGGCCCCCTGTCGGAAGGCCTCGAATTTGCGTCTTTTTGAACCATTTTGCTTAACGGATCTTCTCGTTGTTGAAATTTCAGAACACGGAGCACAGCTTTGTGGTGTCGCTCGCAAACATTCTTTAGGCATTTTGCCTGTTGGCTCGCGTGCTAGCAAGGCCTCAGGTGTGCATTCTTGCCCTCTTGACCTTGCTGATGAAGCACAGATCGTAGACTTCCTTCGACTTTTGCATTCTGTGCGAGAACGAATACTCTGCTTGTGGATTGTGCCGGATGCCAGCACCACTTCTCGCGCTCGGGATCGGCGTCTCAAGGCGCTGCACTCAGGTGGGCCGAAACAGCTTAGGTCTGCCAATCATCCGATGGGGCTTCCGGGTTTGGCGTTTGGCCTCAAACGTCGCACTGAATTGGCCAACCAGGCCATCGAGGCCACTGTTAGGCTTGCTCGCTGGGCCTCTGAGCATGGGATTCCATGCTTCGTGTGTAACCCTGCCCACAGTCATCTTTGGAGTGCACCTGTGATCAAGCAAGCCACTGATTGCCTTGCTTTCCGTTTTTGCTTCGACGCATGTATGCATGGCGGCTCTCTTCCTAAAAGAACCGTTGTTCTTTCGTCTCATAACATTATGCAATCCTTGCAGCTTGAGTGCGATGGATGTCATTTTCATGATGCTTGGCTCCCTAAGGTTGCTGATGGAGAGTTGCGTCGCAAGAGTCGCCAGGATGTCTCGCTGCCTCCTCTCTTTCTCGAAAGGGCTGTCTCCTGCTTGTTGCTGTTTGCCTCTGCGCAAGGAGCTCGGTTACATGTTAGCTTACGCTCTCAGCTGCAGGATCCGTGTACCCAGGCATCTCGCCTTGTGCTCGGCGCTCTTCCTCGCGGGAAGGTTCTTAAGCCGCTTGTGCCCGAGTTCGGTCGCTACCTCAAAGTGCTGACGTATCCTGAGACAGGTGCCTTGCTGCGCTTCATGCGACGCCTTCCCAAGGGTTCCAAGGTCACTTCGCGTTTTCTGAGTGGGGGAACAAATGCCTGCGAAGTCTCCCATGTTGGCGGCTATCTCGATACAGTGGATCTCACATCCCAGCTTAGGCAGGGCTCTTTTGACATTCAGGATGTCTCGCTTGCCTGTTTCGGCCGTAGCCCATTTGCTGACAATGCACCTCTTCACAAAGGTTGTAAAGCTGAGTGCCTGAGCGAGCGGTGTTTCCAGAAAGGCTTCATCACGAAGTCTGAGCTGAGCATGCTGCTTGACGTATTGCCCACTGATCGAAAATTTGCAAAGAGCAGAGGCGATTGCCTCGATTCCACTAAGACATGGACCTCAGGGGCCTTTCACTTCTCCGGCAAAGCCGGCCTCAGGTCCAACACTGTGGCATATCCGAGGACCACTGCTTTGCTTGCAGCTGTTGTTAAGGCGGTTTTCCCTAGGAGTTCCTTTTCTTCGGTTGGGTTGTTTAGGAACCTTAAGACCTGCCCCCACCGCGATGTCAATAACACTCCCGATGTACCCAACCTGCTGATCCCTTGCTCTGACTTTAAAGCAGGGGCCGTCAGAGTTCGCCCGGCGCATCCACAGGAGCAGGAGCTTGTGCTTGAAGTGTCGCAGCGCCCGGCCAAGCTTGATGCGTCGCTGGTGCACTCTACTGACGACTGGTCGGGCGATCGGATTCTTCTTGTTGCTTTTCATGTTCAGGGCGCGACATCTATGAGTTGCGCAGATCAGAGGAGATGCACCGAGCTTGGATTTGTGCTTGACGTCGGCGCTGCTGGGGATCATGTACACGATGCTGCTGGAGTGAACCTTTCCTCTGCCGAAACTGTCTTTGTTGGAGTTCCGAGTGATCCCGAGGAGTTCATACGAAAAGCGGTGGAAGCAGGGCACCCAATGGACATGGGCATGCACGTGTGCCCAGCTGTGGACCGGGCGATCAGGGCCAACTTCTGCGACCCTCCTGAATTAGTCATCCAGCGGCGGCTAAGCACTCTCGAACGCTGGGAGAAACGGGCTAGTGTACTGGATCCTCTCGAAGCGGAGGCGAACAACCGAAGGCCACAACACATACAGACGCTGCTCAAGGGCAAGCGCATCCTCTTGTGGAAAGAGCTCCTGAGTGAGATAGGCTACCCCGATGTCAAGATTCTCGACGAGGTTGAGCAGGGCCTGCCTCTCACTGGGTGGATGGCTGAGTCACAGGTCTTCGCAAGCAACCCGAGGGCGCCCACAATGTCTGTTGATACTGTCGTCGCTATGAACAGGGGCTTTCACGCTCTGGTCAAAAGGCGCCTCCCGAAGAGGCAGGATCAGGACGTCGAGCAAAAGACTTGGCTTGAGACAGAGGAGGAGATTGCTAAGGGGTGGTTCTGGATTGATGAGTCTGGCTGCTGGGAAGGGAAGATCATTGCGCACCGGTTCGGCCTTCTTCAGAAACTCAAACTCCGCACGATCGACGACTGCAGTGTTGGGGGTCTTAACTGCACTGTTGGTCTTCCGGAGAAGATGCGAGTCCATTCTATAGATATTCTTGCATCTATGTTGCGGCGCGCTCTGGAGCTTTGCGGCGGCAAGGCCACTTGTGGCTGGCTAGGCCGCACATACGATCTTCAGGCGGCCTATCGCCAGTTCGGCATAAGCTCTGTTGCTCGGGAACTCTTGAGGATTGTCGTCAACAAGCCTGGGGCGGAACAGCCCATCCTCCTTGGTGCCAACAGTCTTCCGTTCGGTGCAGTGGGTTCAGTTGCTGGCTTCCTCAGGCTGTCTATGGCTATCTGGACTCTCGGCCTGGTGGGACTGGAGCTGTGCTGGTCTGCTTACTACGATGACTTTCCGACTGTCACCAGTGAGCCGCTTCTTGAGAATAGGAGCTCGTGCGTAGATCGCATGTTCAGGCTCATCGGGCTTGACTATGCTACCGAGGGCAAGAAAGCTCCACAGTTTGCGAGCTGTTTCGCGGCACTTGGAGTTCAGGTGGATCTGCAGCAAGCTCAGTCTGGCTCGATTGTTATCGGACACACCGACGCTCGGAAAGAGGAGCTGACCGCTTGCATCGATTCCATTCTCGCTGATTGCAGCATGACTTCGAAGGAAGCAGAGAAGCTGAGGGGACGACTCGTCTTCTTTGAAGGATTCACTTTCGGTAGAGTCGCTCAAGTGGCTGTCAAGCATGTGGGCCGCCACGCTCAAGGCTCGAGTGGCTCTGTGAAGTTATCTGCTGATGTCAAGTGGGCTTTGGGTATGATTAAAACTCGAATCTGTCATGCCCTGCCAGTGACTATATCGGCGAAGGCACTGCAGACCACTTATGTCTTCACTGACGGCGCTTTCGAGCAAGGTCGAGGCTCTTTTGGAGGGGTTCTAATCTCTCCTCACGGCAGGTGCGTTTCTTATTTCGCGGGAGAAGTGAGTCGTGAGGCGATGCATCATTTGCTCGCGTCGTCCACTCATCCCATCTATGAGCTTGAGCTGCTGCCAGTGCTTATCGCCATGCAGGTTTGGGGGAGACTCTCCTCTCACCAGCAAACAGTTTACTATCTTGACAACGAGCCTGCACGAATCGGGATGATTAAGGGGGCGGGTGGCACTGCCATCGCGGACCTTATCATTTCCAAAGCTAGTGCACTTGAATGTGAGCTAGGCCAACACGCTTGGTACGCTCGTGTTCCTTCGCATTCCAACATCGCTGATGATCCAAGTCGCTTTTACTTTGAACGACTTCACAAGCTCGGTGCTGCGAGAGTTCTGCTTGACGAAAGCTGGGTCGCGAGCCTCGTTTTGGAAGCGGGGTGAGGCGGCCGGGAGGCTCGACGAAGGTTTCCCCTTCTCGCAACCAAGCTTTTGTGTGAAGAAAAAAGAAGAGCGACTTCTGGATCTCACAGATTGCGATTGTGACTATTATCACGCTTGCCATAAATACGATTGCAAGTGATTTTATATCTGCGCGAGAAACTTTGAGCACGGTTTGTGTTTGGAAACATAAGTGCTATTTCACCGGAGGTGACAATCACCTTATTTTTCCAAACACAAAATTTCAAGAACCTTTTGGTTTTGAAATAGTGCTTGCGAAAGTTTCTCTTTTTCTACTTCACGCTTTTCTCACATGTCGTTTATTTTACAGTACATGTGTAAGAGTCGTGCTTGCAGTTGCTTCTGATTTGTGAGCCGCTGAAGCACTGGCTCGCTGCTGGTGGAAGTTTTTGCCCGCCCTCCCGCCCCTTTTGGACCTCTTGAAGGTCGTGGGGTTGCGCTCGCATGGTGCTTTGGGCACCGTGGAGCCGTCTCTGCGCCTAACCCGGCCGTTTGAGGCGGCCGGGAGGCTCGACGAAGGTTTCCCCTTCTCGCAACCAAGCTTTTGTGTGAAGAAAAAAGAAGAGCGACTTCTGGATCTCACAGATTGCGATTGTGACTATTATCACGCTTGCCATAAATACGATTGCAAGTGATTTTATAGCTGCGCGAGAAACTTTGAGCACGGTTTGTGTTTGGAAACATAAGGTGTCAGGACCTGCCCGCGGTATGGTACGGGCCGGTCACTTCGTATTGTCCGTCTACATGCTGTCTTGAATAAAAGTTCTTGCGAAGAGATGCAAAGTTTTGTGGGTGCACTGGCAGTTGCGCCATCCGCTACTTTCGTCAAGAGACAGAAGCCTAATGACTCCCTCCACTGCGCGGAAGTGGAAACCCTACCGCCTACCCAGTGTTGCAATGTTTTAAACAGAGTCTGGGCCCAGGAATTGGGACCTGGCGGATCAAAACGGCACCGGTTGCAAAAAGGAGAGAGGAAGGCACGAACCCTTGCTGTTCAGAAAAGGAGCCTGGTCGGGACCTCTAGCACAGACGTTGCGCCCCAAGCCTGTTCAAAAGCCTCTCAACTGCGCGGCCGCTTGATCACTCGTGGCGGCTACTACTACTACTACTACTACTACTACTGCTACTACTACTACTACTACTACTACTACTACTACTTCTTACTACTTACTACTTACTACTTACTACTTACTACTTACTACTTACTACTAACTACTAACTACTACTACTACTACTACTACTACTACTACTACTACTACTACTACTACTACTACTACTACTACTACTACTACTACTACTACTACTACTACTACTACTACTACTACTACTACTACTAGCCGACAGCGTGCTCCTGTGACCCCTTTAACTGGCCCTAAAGCTTCAATAGGCGGAAAAGTACTTCTACTTTAGAGGAGCACGCGGGCGACTACTACTACTTTAGAGGAGCAGGCGGGTAACGACTACTACTTTAGAGGAGCAAGCGGGCGGACCTGCGGTGGAAACGGCACTCCACAGTCATTTTGCAAGAGCATGCAACAGCATCTAAGATCCCCTGTACTGTTGCATCAACACGCCCATCGCTTGCATGGGCTCGGTTCCCGCATTGTGAAACATCCACTGCCAGAGACGCACATGCTCCATGAGGCGATCTCGTCTACTACTACGAACACTATTCGGTATGCTTCGCTCAACATGTTTCCAGATGCCATCGGCGAGCTGAGTACCCGCAAGTCTGGAAACTCCTCGAACTGTAACCTTCTTGCAGAACTCGAGCTTGGTGTGACTGACCGCATGATGATCAGCAACCTTGTGCTTCCATTGTTCGCGTGTCAAGAAGTCCTCATAATTCTTGGCCCCATCGGTGAAGACAACACAGTTGCGGCCGATGAACGGAAGAAGCAAATCGACCTCATCCTTGGAGATCGGCGGAGGTGATATCGGAGCTTTGGCATTCTTGACATTCGGCGTCACAGGCTTCTCAGGAAGCCACATCAAAACGATCTGTCGAGAGCCACGTTGCACGGCTCCTAGAAGTCGAAGAAAAGTTACTTGCTTCCCATCCTCAGACCAAATCTTGCGAATGCAAAACTCGTCAATCTCAATGTCGCAATTGTTGAAAACAGTTGCTTCCTGAAGGGTCTCCATGGTCGCAGCTGTTATTTTGAACAGAGCATCCCAGTGCTTCCACAAGCTCTTGTTCGCACCGAGGCCCAAAGCATCCACAGCTTTGTCGACGCTGTGATGACGGCTGAAGTGCCAGAAGAATCCCAGCACCTTTCGAAGGGGAATACAAGACTTTCCATGATGCCCAGCAAACTTGTCGACAAAACCACAATCTCGCAATGCTGGAACCCAAGCTTTGCAGGAGTAACAACGTCGGTGCGCAAAGTCCTTGTTGCTACTACCAGTTCGCAGTCTAAGTGGACTCAACGTGCCAGGCCATGACCCAGTGCATCCTTCATGCTTCGCCCCAGTCAAGTCAGGAATCAACCCCAACTCAATCATCTTCTCTGCAGCTTCTACGCCCGTCATCTGCGAGATTGCATCTGCAGATTGCCTTCTGGCCTTGGACTGACGAGAAGGCGGCTGCAAGAGGGGCAGCGGATCAAGCGTGTAGATTGCAGCAGGCTTCTTCTTGCATGCGGCAGGCCTCTTCTTTAAAGCCTTGATGACATCACGAGAGCGCTTAACGGGAGCAGGCGCTCGAGAAGTGTTGCCACCTCGCTTGGTCCGCTTCCTAACCTTAGGATTTAAGGGCATGGCTTGAGGGTGGGAGTTGGCAGCTGCAGATACAAACAACGTTCATGTTGTGCAAGCAAGCAAAGAGTCTGTAAGTTCGTGTTTCGTCCGATGAAGGGACAAGACATGAAGCGGCATGCACGGCACAGTTTTTTCAACACTGCTTCAGCGGCCACCCCTAGCCAATCTCATCTCCAAAGAGTAGTAAACCTCTGAAAGGGACTTGGAGCATTCAGCGAGCTTGTCAACCGGTAGCGGCTGGGCATGCCAGCAGCTTCTGTTGCCCGAAGCATCTACAGTCCACCACTTCGCACATCTAACCAGGAGCCGTCCGTATCTAACAATAAGACCCTATCTAACAATATGCCAAGCCAAGCCAAGCCAAGCCAAGCCAAGCCATTTTAAAAAAGATCTCCTTTCACCATTGTGACAGAGGAAAACCCTGTCTAACAATAAGACCCTATCTAACAATAAGACCCTATCTAACAATAAGACCCTATCTAACAATAAGACCCTATCTAACAATAAGACCCTATCTAACAATGTGCCAAGCCAAGCCAAGCCAAACCAAGCCAAGCCAAGCCATTTTAAAAAAGATCTCCTTTCACCATTGTGACAGAGGAAAACCCTATCTAACAATAAGACCCTATCTAACAATAAGACCCTATCTAACATTAAGACCCTATCTAACAATATGCCAAGCCAAGCCAAGCCAAGCCAAGCCAAGCCAAGCCATTTTAAAAAAGATCTCCTTTCACCATTGTGACAGAGGAAAACCCTGTCTAACAATAAGACCCTATCTAACAATAAGACCCTATCTAACAATAAGACCCTATCTAACAATAAGACCCTATCTAACAATAAGACCCTATCTAACAATAAGACCCTATCTAACAATGTGCCAAGCCAAACCAAGCCAAGCTAACAATAAGACCCCGTACGAAACCAAGCCGAACCAAACCAGTCTAAGAGCAAAACACAAGCCGGGCAACAAAGCAGTGTGCCGGGGCGCAGAGTGCCGTGGCGAACCGAGTGCCGTGGCGAACCAAACGGCTGCCGCGTGTGCGACAAAGGAGGCGAAAGGGGGGTCACAGGAGCACGCTGGCGCCTACTACTACTACTACTACTACTACTACTACTACTACTACTACTACTACTACTACTACTACTACTACTACTACTACACCTACTACTACTACTACTACTACTACTACTACTACTACTACTACTACTACTACTACTACTACTACTACTACTACTACTACTACTACTATTACTACTGCAACTAAGCACCTGGGCTCGAACGACGAAACGTAGCGTGTGTGTGTGCGCGTAGAAGTAGGCCGCAGGATGGTGCACCCACACCTTCTCCTCCTCCTGGCCTTTCTTCACCTTCCCAATCCCCACTCCCTCTATCTGCGAGCCGCTGGGTCCAAATCTCCGTGTCCAGCCGGTCTGCCCTGAGGCACGAGCCCCAGCCTGCACTGCGGCACTGCATAAGGCCAAGCAGCCAGACAATGCCATGCCTTCCTAGTTCTCCTGCCCACGCCTGCAGGCTCAAGCTGTTGTCTAGCTCCCTCTAAGCCTCAGCCATCAGGCCCACCGACTGCAGCGTCTGGATCGCCTCCACCTACGGAGCACGCCGACCTCACAGCGGCGTTGGCCAGCCTGCATCAGACCCTGGACAGCACCATTGTCAGAGAGCGCTATCGAGCTGGCCTGCACAATCAGGTTTGGAACACCAACAACTGGAACTGCATTGGCTCAACGATGGCTACACGCACTGGCCCCCTACAGACCACGACAGAGCTCCGGGAGCCTCAGACATCTCTGGCTCAACCAGGATCCCCAGACTCCATTGACACGGCGGACCTCCTGGCAGCAGCGGAGGAAGCAGAGCGGACCCTTGCCTCCTTGGCAGGGCCCCCCACCGGGCCCACTATGTCTGCTGGCTCCACTCTTCCCTACAGGCCCGACGACTTCCACCCAGGTCTCAGGCCCACACTCGCCTAAAGACAAGTCCTGCTGAGCGACACCATAGCAAACCGACCTGGAGAAGCAGTGCCGACCAAGGAGCAGCCACAGGAAAAGTACTCCCCTGGCTTACGTCCTCCAACCGCGCCCCTAGCCTCCTTGCATCTCACCCCCACCTGCCCCACCCCTGCCTGGGCCAATACCGCCCGACGCCCGAGCGGAGAACTGTGCGTGTTTGTTGAATTCTGTACATAGGAACGCCCCACACC